AATGTCCCAAAACTATAATTTTATGTGTTCACTCAACTAATCACGTTGACTTTACAACATGTAACATCATGTGTGTCTGTATTGCATCATTTGTCCTCCACAGAAAAACAAAAACAGAAGGGGAGACGAATGGTAGAAATCAGAGTTTTGAGACACGTGCGAGGATTGGCGGCTCGTTTATAATTGCATACCCCCCTCAACTAAGGAAGTCGTAACCCTTCTCGGTGCTATTTTTGGATCCCGTGGGTTGTATGATGACACAAGGAGTAGCGTTGGGATCAGTTGATATTTGGCTAATGAATAAATGTTTGCAATAACATTTTAAAGTACATTTCCCTAATGTTATTTGGTTACTTCTTGCTTAGATTATGAAAAAAAATTCTAAATGCTTGTGTATGGTTTTAGGAAAATTAGGTACCTACTTGCTATTAAGACGCTACCTTAGCTTAATTTATTAGCATTTAGTAAGAATATTTGACTGTTCCTATTTCTGTATTGTTATAGATCAATGGAATACTCTTCACTCTTGACTCTAGCTCTGAAACAATTATTTAATCACCCTAAATTAATCACAGTACATTGTTTGATAATACCTGAATAGTATGTTTTACTATATTCTGATACATCTAGCATTATTAAGGATATATTAAGGATATTCTTGATAGCTGCTCACGTGTAGTTAATGTTACTATAATTAGGTTATCATTTGAGTTCGTTTAGAAATCTTACTAATATTATAAATTTGAAAGTTTGTGTGTTTGTTAGTTTGAAGTCCAATCACGCATTAACTACTGGACGGATTGGGCTGAAATTTGGCATGATGATAGCTCATATTCCCGATTAACATATAGGCATATTCTTATTTCAAAAGTCCTTTCGGGCTCCGCCCCAGTGGCTCTGTAGTTCCCTATGTTGACCTTATGAGTATTCATATTTGAAGGGAATTAAAGAATTTAGTCAGCTGTTTCAACTAAAAAGTTGGTTCTATGATATGAAAAGCTTTAAAAAGTTATAAGATTTACTAACAGGGTGCAGCATTTTTTTGCATTTATGAAAACCAGAAAACTGTGATACGCAATGAGAACTATCAAAGTAGGATTGTTTACAGTTATGTTTATGTTTTTAATTTCCATAAAATTAGTGATAATTTGCGAACTTTTGATCATTTATTTTTCTCTATTGTTTGGGTGAATTGCAGAACAATATGGCTATGGTAGATGTGTAGTATTATAGTATACTGTAAATTTAAAGAAGAAAATTGTATCAAACTGTGTTTTTCCCGATTGCAAACGCAAAGCTTGAGTATAACTGCAATAAGCACTTTATACTTATTATTCCAACCCCATACGAAGGACGGGTACTCTGCTAGTCCTACTATATTTGGTTAATGGTGTTATAAGGCAAAATTTCCAAAATCCGAGCAGAAAAGCTTAAGAAAGTGACTGTTAATACACTGAAAAACTATAATTTGGAAAACAAATGTGTAAATGGCGAAACTCACATGATAAACAGTGTAGTAACAGGTTGGTAAGTGTAGTTACCGTTATCAAATATGTCATATGTAACTATTGGGGTTTTGTGTAATGTGTTACGTTCTACAGATTTTTTACTCAGGATTATACTAAATCACCGTAGGTCTTGTCATAGATATCCAATATTTAGTAGTTGAGTACTTAACTTGTGGATGCTAAGGTATGGGTAAAAGCTAAGGTATCGTGTCCTCATCTGCTAGATCATACAATTAATGCCAATTACAACCTAAATACGCTGGAAGAATGTAAAATGTAGAGATGTATAGATGTTAGGAAATCACAAAAGTTGAATCTAAAGCTACGTTGTATGGTTGACCTTGAGCTGTATAAATTAATGCTATGAAAATGTAAGTTTTACAATTACCATGGCAAAAAAAATAGTACCAATAAGTTTTTATGGTGTTTTATGGTAAATTAGATATAAATTGTTACATGAGCTAATTTCACATAAATTGTATCACAAATAGGTTACATACATAAAAAATTGACTTTTCTTCAAAACTATTTGTTGTATTTAGGTCAAATATCAATTGTATTTTAGTAATTTGAACCTATTAAAAACCTCGTTGGATTAACCTTGTATGGTGCAAGCAAAGAATAAACTGTCCATAAACTATAGTAAAGGGGTAATAAAAGAGGATGTTGGTTTATTTATTTGGCAGTGATAAACTCAGACATTGCTGGACCAATGGCCAAGTAGAATTTCATGGAGTCCATCAGTTCCGTGATGACCTTCAAGGCTTAGCCCTGGAACCGTCTTAAAGGTACATATGGATTTTGAAAGAATATTGAAAATTAATCAAAGAATATTATTGACGGTTGTTCAAATAAACAAAATGGCTTTTATGATGCTTATTAGCATTAAAGAAGGCTTATCAACAGATTGCAACACTATTATTGTTTGCTCTGGTTGCAAAGCATGAGTACAGCAGCTGGACCGAATAAAACCAGTTATTCATAAAAACGTTGCAAATGTCCTATTCTAAACCTTTTTTTTATCTCTTGCTGTTACCACTAGCCAATCTAAAGTAAAAATAGTGATAGTTTTGTCAAAAATGAATACAGGATAAAATTAAAGCAAACATGCGTACTCACCCAATTCCCAACAGATTGAAAAAAAGAGATAAAATCACGACAGATGTCATGTTTAATCGTTTGGTCAAAACAAACTTGTCTATCTATTTATATTTGTAACATGTAGCTATCCTTAATAGCTGCAATGAGATGACTCCGATTTTGTTTCTGAGAGAGTAGTTCAAAGGTTTTGGTAGAAAGACAGTTAATTTACAAAAAAAAATCTCCCTTAGTTTGACTTCAGTAGTTCCATGCTTAGGTGATTAGGCTGCCTAAAAATGGATTCAATCCCTAATAACAGTTACTATACAGAAAAATAATGTAATAGGTCAAGTCACAACTTCAGCCGGTTCATAATAAAAACTTAAAAATATGTCGGGCAAATCCGACGGGCAATAGCCAGTAATAACATAAATACAATGAGTTTAAACTATAGTATATTTCACTACTAACATGCATGTACAACACTATCTCGCCTCGAAATGGGACTTTCGTGACGAGTATTAAACGATGAAAAAACTACTTCATCAAAACTACTCTATCTAATATTTCGTAATTTATTAATTTTACTTATCTAAACATAATACGGCTGTACAAATAATTTTAGTATAAAGTTCAGCTGATTGTAACTTTGTCAGGCAGAGTATTGTTTGTGTAGTGAAAGTAATGTTTATGTAGCAAAAGAATAAAATAGTATATTGGGAGGCTTCATTTTCCAAGGGTCACCTTGGAATTGGGAAAGAAAAGTTTCTCATATTTCGGACCCACATTGTACAACAGACTACCCAAGAGCCCAAAAACCGTTGCATTCAACAATACCTTTAAGATTAAGTTTAAAAAGTGTTTAAAAGATATAAATGTTTAGTTGTAAGTACGGTTTTGTAATGAGAAAAGTTGTTCTGAAAAGTTTATATGTATCAGAGAAATGCCGCCTAATAAAGACGTTTATATTTATTTATAAGTAATGTTTATGTCAGGAAAAGTCAGCTGATCACTATTTATTTTTGGTGTATGGAAATTGAAGATTTTTGAAGAATTCAGCTGAAATGGGCTATTTTCGAATACAGAGTGATGAAAAGTGATTTATAGGTGTTTTTAACATTCCTTTTGGAATATCATTAATTTGGTAACAGCTATGCAAATTTTCCCTTTTATGATTCTAACACACACTACATTCTTATGTTATCACTGACCAACTACCCATTACCGACGTTTTGCTTCACCGTTACACCAGTTTAAACAAAACTTACCTCATATCAACCATTGTCTCCCTTCTTATAAAGCTCAAACTTTTATGTTTTAGCCTAATATGTGACTCAGTATTTCGTATATTTTCACTGTAAGCTTGAGTTTATCTTGAGCATAATACTGTAATATGAACCTTATGATTAAATTTCATCATTGCATACCAGCACTACAAATAAATCTAATGATTGACATTGTGACATTTACATTGACATTTACTCTTTACGTAAATATTCATCTAATGTTGGTTTAACATGATTGATGGCCTTATAGTGTCTTGTATTGCACATGAAAATAGATTTTTCTCAATACATCGAGATAAAAAGCACCAAACCATGTTTATAGAAGCTATTATTAGGATATATTTTTACAATTAATATCGGCATGTTCCCGAATAATGCCTGTCTTCCACAACATCATAGTTATATACCATTGTATGATTTTTTTTAAATATTTAACACTTGTTAATTTTTATCAAACGCTTAAGTTGATGAACATATTGAAATTTTGCGTTTTTCTCCTATCAACGTCTATAAAAAAAACAGTTTGTAATTAAAATCGCTAATATTCAATAAACGTAACCAATGTTTAGTGTTACGTGTAAATAATTATTGCGTATATTCTGTAAAATCATGTTGTAAGTAGCAAATATAGATTACTGTTTCCATTATACTATTTGTAGCTTTCACAAGTGATGCGCGCGCATACCTATGCGTCCCCTACCAAAGGGAACCCATCTGCTGCCTAGGGGGACCCCACACTAAGAATAGATGCCACACATCCTGTGCCACCCCTGGCGTGTATATTCAGAGTTTACCGTGTTTTTCCTCATTCTCATTGAGGAGCTTGATCGTGACGGACGTGTTTTTGCTCTTGTTCCTTTTGTGTTGTGTCAGAAGCTTACTTGTACCATACGTAAGTTGACTCTTTATTTCTTAGACCTACTTTTTAAATACTTGCAACATGTTGGGAAAAACAGCTACTTTGGATAATGTAGTAAAACCTGTGACATTCTTACATAAAGATGAGACCTATGTAAATAAATTTAGATTGTATGGAAGTAAAACAGTATTTAAATTTTCAAATCCTCCCCCTAATACAAGTGAATTTGATTGGCTAAGACAAGGTTTTGGTCAAATCGTTAGAGAAATGAAAGAGCAAGCATTTGAAAATGATCAACTGGGGTTTACTCTACAAAGTCTTAACTTGAAATCTAAGGAACCTGGCTATGTAAATTTTCGTCCTGCTAGTGAAATTAATGAGGACGTATTGTGGCAAATTTTCGGGGGTATTGTACAGTCAAACTCTGAAACAATCAAATCTACGGACACGTTTAAAGTAGAGTGCACTCGAATTAACCTCCCTGTGGGATCTGGAAGAGTAAGACCAGGCTTGTACAATACTTTTGACGAGGAGTGTAAAGCAAGGAAAGGAATTGTTGTCATTAATAATAAGGACAATCTGTGTCTTCCTAGAGCTTTGGTAGTGGCTATAGCTAAAATAACAAATGATCCCGACTATAATCTGATTTGTAAAGATCGTAGACAGAGACAAACTGATAGAGCTCAAGAGCTTGTACGTCATGCTAGAGTAGAAATGCCCAAGAATGGTGCAGGAATCCCAGAACTTGAAAAATTCCAAAGTTTCTTAAAGGACTACAAAATTGTTGTGTACAACTATGACAGGAAAGGACGTGATGTATACTTTGAGGGAAATGTAGAAAATCCAAAAATCAAAATTAATTTACTGTTTCACAATGGGCACTACAATGTGATTAATAGTTTGACTGCAGCATTTGCATGTGTCTACTTCTGTGAAGCCTGTCATATCCCGTATGATCACAAAGGTAAGCACCGATGCTCAAACATCTGCCCACAGTGTCAGACTATTTCACCCCCTTGTGTAGAGGAGCATGGTGGTATTCTGTGCCCTAAATGTAACATGACCTATCGAAACCAGGAATGTTTTATTGCACATGAAATTGATAAATGCAAATTGGTAAAAAAGTGTCTAGACTGTGGAAAGCTTATTCGAATTAAAGAACGGTCTAAGCCTCATAAATGTGGTGAAGTATTTTGTAAGCCTTGTGGTTCATTTGAAGACGCTAACCACAAATGCTATATGAAACCTGACAAAAGAAAGCCTAAATCCAAAGACTTTTTGTTCATTTTCTTTGACTTGGAAACACGTCAAGATGAGTCCCTTTCCTCAGATTCAGACGCTAAGGTTCATAAAGTAAATTTGTGTGTGTCACAACAGTTTTGCCATGAGTGTGTTGACGGAAAGTGTTGCACAACATGTGAAAACCGTACAAGAATCTTTAAATCAAACCCTGTTGATCAGTTCATGAACTATGTGATGCAAGTCCGTAAAACATTCAAAGACGTCTGTGTCATTGCACACAATGGGCAGGGTTTTGACTTCCAATTTTTGCTCAAGTATGTGCTAGAAGATACAAAGTTCACTCCAAAACTTGTAATGCGGGGAACTAAGGTCATTTTGATGGAGATTGACAATGTGAGGTTTATTGATTCACTAAGTTACTTCCCCATGCCTCTTGCTGCCCTGCCCAAGGCCTTTGACCTGCCTCCAGAAAAGAAGAAAGGCTATTTTCCCCACCTCTTCAACACCCTTGAGAATCAAAATTATGTGGGCCCTATACCGGAAAAAAAGTTTTACTGCCCAGAATCAATGTTTCAAAAATCACACAAAGATTTTGAAAACTGGTATAATGATCAGGTAGCAAACCACGTTACATTTGACTTTAAAAAAGAAATCCTCGAGTACTGTGTATCAGACGTTGATATCTTGGCCCAAGCTTGTTTAAAGTTCCGCTCAATTTTCCTCCAAGAGTGTAATGTGGATCCGTTTCTTGAAGCTGTAACCATCGCCAGTGCTTGTAACTTGGCCTTCCGTCGGAATTTTTTGAAACCTAAAACAGTTGGTTTGATCCCAAAGAACGGGTATAGGCTTACAGACGCCCAATCAGCCATTGCGTTACAGTGGCTATCGTGGGAAGAGGAGAAACGTGGAATAAGAATTGAACATGCTGGTCGTGGAAAAGAAGTTAAGATCAATGGAATGAAGGTTGATGGGTATGATGGTCAAAATATTTATGAATTTCAAGGCTGCTACTTTCATGGCTGTCCTAAATGCTTTCCCTATGACCGTGAACTTGCTTTGAAAGAAGATCCCTCTGACTCACTCCATTTGCGATATGAACGGACCAAATCGAAAATAGCAAAGTTGGGTGATAACGTCGTACAAATGTGGGAATGTGAGTTTAGAAAGTTAAAAAAGACAGAAAACCTAAAACATCTAGACAAGTTGCCGATACTCAACAATTTACCCCTGAATCCGAGGCGAGCATTTTTTGGGGGCCGAACCGGGAATGCCAAAACCTACCACAAATGCGCCGAAGGGGAAACCATTGAATACGTTGATGTGTGCTCTCTCTATCCTTGGGTGTGTAAATACGGCAAATACCCTGTAGGCCATCCGACAATCTATGTAGGAGACAAAGAGTGTAGGCAGAGAGGTCTTAATGTCGAAGGCCTATTAAAGTGTAAAGTACTCCCACCTCGTGAGCTCTATCACCCCGTTCTCCCAGCCAAAATAAATGACAAGTTAATGTTTGTTTTGTGTGCGACATGTGGAGAAACTCAAAATCAGAAGAATTGTGTATGTAAAACTGAGGAGAGAGTTTTAACAGGAACCTGGACAATGGATGAAATTCGTAAAGCTGTAGGAAAAGGCTACATTATCTTAGAAATGTTTGAACTTTGGGAGTATAAGGTAGCCACATATGAGAATGGGGGGTTGTTTACAGATTTTATAAATAAATTTCTAAAAATGAAACAGGAAGCGTCAGGGTTCCCAGGCTGGTGTAAGACTGATGAGGACAAAAACAAGTACATTGATGACTATTTTAAAAAAGAGGGTGTCCAACTGGAAAAAGACAAAATTATTAAAAATGGTGGATTGAGGTCGTTGGCTAAACTTATGTTGAACTCGTTTTGGGGCAAGTTTGGCCAACGAGAAAATCAGACCAAAGCTACAATCGTCAGGGATTCAAAAACACTTTTTAAGATGTTTTCAAGTCCTGAAATAGATGTAAATAGAGTGCAGATTGTCAATGACGAGGTTGTTGTTGTCAGCTGGGAGTACATTGATGAGGTTGGTGAGCCATTGCAAAATGTTAATGTTGTGGTGGCAGCTTACACTACTGCCCAAGCGAGATTGAAGCTCTATGAGCATCTAGATTCCCTGGGTGGTCAAGTATTGTATTACGATACTGATTCTGTACTATATGTATATAAGGGTAGTTTGTATAGAGTTCCCACAGGAGATTATCTCGGTGAAATGACCGATGAGTTGACCGAGTATGGACCCGGGTCATACATTACAGAATTTGTATCCGGAGGTCCAAAGACCTATGCATACCTTGTCTGGTCAACCAATAAACAAACATTGATTCCCGTTTGTAAAATTAAAGGTCTCACTCTCAATATGAAAACCTCAAAAACAGTTAACTTTGACAAATTAAAAGAAATGGTATTGAGTGAAGTAAAGCAGTCCATTGATATCGAAGAAAACAGAATAAGAAGAACCAAAGAAAGAGATATTATTTCCATAACAGAATGCAAAGTATTTAAAATCACAGGTCCTAAAAGAAAGTTTGAAGGAGAGTATGGAACGTTACCATTTGGTTATAGTAAGGCTCCTAGAGTACAGTAAACTGGGAACTGGGTGCAAAATCTTGTCACTATGCAAAGCTCCTAGAGACTAACAGATTTCTTGGTACTTAAAATTCTATATCCTTTAATAAAAAAAACAGTGCCAGTAAAGCATCCTTAAAAATAATCATTCAGTTAATGGTATAAAATGACATGTCCTAAAGAGTAAATATGTAATTGAGTCTATTCTCTCCCTTGATGGCTAATGTAAGGACAGAAAGCAGTATTGAGGCGTTCTGATCTGGCGCTACTCCATGGTGTGTATGTGGGAGTGTACATTGAGGCGTTCAGATCTCAAAGGACCTGAACTACTCCTTGTGCATGTGTGAATGATGGTCACTGGCGCGGCTGACTAAAAGGCCCGTAAACCATGTGTGAAGGTCACTGGCGCGGCTGACTAAAAGGCCCGTAAACCATGTGTGAAGGTCACTGGCGCGGCCGAAAGGCCCGTAAACCATGTGTGGAGGGGTAAGCGTCATTTAGAAACCCTCAGTAACTAGTTCTCAAATGTCCAAGACTAAAGCAAGTTCAAGATGTAAATTTGTAAATAAGCTTCATAAATAAGGGAGAGGGCATTATACGGCATCAACCAGGTAATCTGGACCGGCTGTATAATGCTTAACCTGGTTTCACACAGTGAAAGGATAGTCTCAAACCCTATCCAATATGAAGCTTTTATGATTTTTTTATCATAGGTTATACAGACAAAAACTGTTCTAATACTTTCTTCTGTAATTGGCGGTCAACTCTGACGGATGCTGAAGCATTTAAATATTAAAAGTTCTTGGAATCCACAGCTTTATAAGTAAAATAGGACAATGTCATTTCATATCGTGATGAAGTAGTAATTTTGTAAATGATCATTTGATGTACTAGAGATGTTCTTTATTAAAAAACGGATTATGGTTCGAGGTGTTTCCTCGTGTGTGTATGTGTACTCGCTTAACAGGCAGGCTTAAAATCCATAAGTCCAAGGGCAGGAGGTTAGCCTAAAAATCATAAAACATTGTGTTATCCTCCCCATACGTGTGTGTGTGTGAGGCCCAACAGGCAGGCTTAAAACCCATAAGTCCAGGGGCTAGAGGTTGACCTACAAATCGTAAAACATTGCATTATCCTCCATGTCACCTAATTTCCCTCTCACCTCGGACTATAATCTAACAAAAAAAAATTAAATTCTCTGTCATTCTTAGTAAATGAAATGTCGTAGGCTAAAATGAACGGTTCGCCTAGTAAATGGCCTGATGAATTTTAAAATGAACGGGTTGACAGAGACAACATATAAAAGTAAAATATCCTTTGTCAGAGGCAAAAAGGGTTAATTGAAAGGCTTCACTGAGTAAATAACCCTTTACATTTGTCAAAGGACAAAAAAATTTGGGATGTGCCAAATCTGTAATAATTTTTATCATAGACTACAATGGTTGAAGCAGCCTACCCCCAGAGGTTAGGACTCTTGGTGAAGCTCTGGGTTAACAAAAAGAACGCGCTGGGACCCTACGGCCTAGCCTAACAGCTTACCGTGGTGTGGAAACTGGGTCACCTAAACTTATTTTGATGTTATGCAATAGACTACTATAGAATGTGTGACTTACGACTGAATTTAGACAAAGAAAGATAACAACATAAATTTTAAAACTACACATTTTCAGTCATTCTAGTGTTTTATCTTAACCCAGAGGTTTTTGAGTTATTTTCCGATTAAGTAGCCTTCAGTTAATTTTTTATCAATCAAAATTATAAGATAGTGACACCACTATGTGTTAACCCAAATATGAGTGAAGAATGAGTAATCACAATATTCCTCTTAATAGGACATGTAACTGTTATGTATCATTAATTTATATAAATAAGATGTGAAACATTCCCAGAAAATGACATACATTTACATTTATAGTACAGCTCCAGACCTTGTTCAGTGCAAAACCATACATTTAATAGTTCGAGAATATGACATATATGTAACAGTTCCAGACCATACGTTTAACAGGTTCAGACCATATAACAGTTCCAGACATTTGGTATACGTATAATAGTTTAAAGGAATACACTCCAGAGGGTAGTATATGTTTAACAATTTCAGAATGTGACATACATGTAACAGGCCCAGACCATACGTGTAACAGTTCCAGACCATACGTTTAACAGTTTCAGACTATATAACAGTTCCAGACATTTGGTATACGTATAACTCTTTTAAGGTATACGCTCCGGAAAGTGGTATAACAGTTTAAAAATGTGACATACATGTAAAAGTTCCAGCCCATGGTATATATGTTCAGTTCTAGCCTATGATTTACCTTGTAATCTCAATGGATTTGTAAAAGAGTTTTATTATCAAAAGTAACAATAAGTTTTTTACTCTATAACACATCAAAGTGTATTTTTGTGACATCCATATTTAGGCGTAAAATAGCTTTATTAGCTGAGTAGAATCATCAAATTTTCAGATGCCATACAAAATCAAAGCTAAGATTATATTGCTAATTTTAATTCATCGGGATGCATTTTTTCCTGAAAAGACAGCAAAAGTCTTTACAATTTTTACAAACCTGTACAATATATTGAAAACACCAGAATTTACCATCCAATGTACAAATTAGGGTTAAATCGCACTAACAAAACAGATGTTAACTCTGCTGTAGCTGAGTGCATTAAACGTTTCTAGATGCGTTGCTAAATGTCCAATGAAACTATAGATAACCATAAAGACTCTCCATGTCATCATCATGTTATACAGACCACAGTGGTTTTCCTAATTGATAAATATCATAAGGTAGTCACATAACATCATACTAGGTTGGTCTTGGTTTGGCAGTAGTAGTCATAAAACACAACCGGAAATCACAGGCTAAACTAAGTAATTGGAAAGAAATCAATAGTTATAATCAAGTCCATAGGCCGTAATCAATAATCACAAACCGTAAACGGCAATCACAGGCCGTAATCGTTATTTAAATATCATAAGAAGTAATAACAGACCACAGTGCTTGCAAAACCACAGGCCGTAATCGATGATCACAGGCCATAATCGATGATCGCAGGCCGTAATCGATAACCGCAGGCCATAATGGAGCATTGATCGATGATCATAGATCAAAACCACAGGCCGTAATCTTAGGCCATCTTTAGGGTGGCTTCTTGGTAATTGCTGGCTCTTACGGAGCAGTAATCAGTGTTCGCAGACCAAAACCATAGGCCTTAATCGATTATCGCTGACCATAATTGGTAATCGCAGGCCATAATTGGTATTTGTGAAACATAATCGGTGGTCGCAGACAGTAATTACTGGCCGTAACCACCAATCCAGTTGTTGTAATAGGTACAAAAGCCGTAATCGGTCATCACAGACCAACTGATCACACACCATAATCGGTAATTAAAGACCATGATCAGAAATCACAATAGTTAAATAGGTAACAAGACAAAGAGGACATACATTACGCAGAAATTACAGACAAAAGATACAATAACCCCTAGGGACTGAAATTCATACAACACAAAAGGAAAGAGGTCAACACAAGACAAAGCATGATCCACCTCATATGACTTCTTACCAACACACATCAAATTCGCCAAAATATAACAATAGCATAGTTTCATGAGCAATAGCACGACCATGTGGACAAAAAGTGAGGTTAGATCACGTGGGTACACCTAAAGTGAGGTTATACAACATGGGTGTTAGGATACCTAAGGTTAGATGCCGCCATCTTGGATTTGTCTTAAACGACCGCCTATCCTACTCACGTCGTCTCCTCTACTGTTATCACTGATGTTATCAGATCTTCGATCAGCTGTTCCTGAGTTTAATATTGTATTAAAAATCGAGTGAGACTGGAACTGTAATTTTTCGTTAAGGATGTGGTCCTTACACTGTTCGTCATTATAAATTTTATAAATCTCGAACTCCTCCAAGGTGTCAAGTTTGCTACCTTTCCCACAGACATGTAAAATTTTTAAACCATCTTCAATGCTACTCATTGAGTGATTTGAATCAACCAGGTGTTGTGCGAAGGCTGATTTTTGTTTGACCATTTTTGGAGTTGGCCTATGTTCTCTGTAGCGGGTTTCAAATGCCCGACCCGTCTGGCCTATATATTTGCATGGGCAATCTGGGCAACTGATCTGGTAAACACCGGTGTTGTTTAATTTGTTGCTAGACCCTTTATTATGCAAGATGTTCCTAGTGCGGTTGGTGGTTCGGAACGTTAAGTCGATGCCTTGCCTATTTAGTTCTTTTTTAAGGCTGTTTTCTACAGAGTGGCTGTACTCCACGCAAACATATTTTCTCTCACTCTTATCTGGTTTAATATCTTGTTTTCTTTTGTTCTTATATTTGCTAACTAATCTGTCTACCAAATCGTGTTTGTACCCATTGGCTGATGCGATATACTTTATTAATGAGCATTCTTTGTTATAATTATCGGGGCTTAATGGAACAGTTAACATTCTGTGGATCATGGAGTTGTAGGCTGCTATTTTTTGCGAAAACGGATGGTAAGAAGTGGAGTGAATTGTTTGAGCTGAAGTGGTTGGTTTTCTGTAAATACTATAATCAAATTTGCTGTTATTCTTCGTGACTGTGAGGTCTAGGAAATTTATTCTATTGTTTGACTCTGTTTCTAAAGTAAACTTTAATTTGGGTGTGATGTTATTCAGATAGTTGAGTAGGAGGTTTAATTGCCTATTGTTGCCATCGAATAAAACAATGGTGTCATCCACATATCTGAAGTACATGCTGATTTTATTTTTGTAAACATTTTTTGATTGATAATTTCCTCCCTTGACAGAGAGTAGGCCTCGATCAACTCCTCGAGGCGCTCGAGGAATGACACAGGATCCTTCCTTCCATCGAAGCGGAGATTCCACTTGCGCACTGTATTACAGAGGGCCGCAAAACCTTTCCGCGAGCCAGTCTCGCTCCCACTGCAACGGGGCTCTGGGGCTTTCGACTCCTCGAAGAAATTCGGATCCGGAAGGAACTGTGGTGGTTTCGCA